GCACCCCAGCTGACTCAGGAGACCCTAAGCAACACCTGGGTTTCCTTGGGAGGCGCCCACGAGGGAGTGCTTGAGAGAAAGTCACCTTCCCTGCTGCTGGCACAGAGCAGCCCATCCATGGCCAAACTCCGCTTTCATCCTCCCCTCTTCCCAATGGCAGAGCGGGACAGGGAACTGCCATGGTCCCACACCCTGCCCCACACAATCTCCTTAGAAAACAGAACTAGACACTACAGTGCCAGTGACGGGTACCAAGGGACGCTGGACACAGAGCGAGCGCTGCCCCGTGCGCCTGCCCCACAGACGTTAAGCACATCTCACCCCAGGAATGGCTCAGACCTCAGTCACACCAGCCTAAGTTCTGGAGAACATCCCTCCCCCTGGTTGTGCACCGGGCCCCGGCCCCAGTCTGCTCTCTCCCAGCCAGGAGAACGTGTCCCCGGGTTCTACACGGCTTGTCTGATGTGGGGGAATGAGGATGTGTCCTGTGCTCCTGTTCAACCTGCCCCCACTGCTGAGCGACAGCCTGGCTCCAAGGCTTTGCAGCCTTGCCCAGGCAAATCCCCCGCGACCCTGTGAAACGCTCTAATGCAGGGGTCGGCAACTTTCAGAAGTGGGGTGCCGAGTCTTCATTTATTCACTTTAATTTACGGTTTTGCGTGCCAGTCATTCATTTTAACGTTTTTTAGAAAGTCTCTCTCTATAAGTCTATATATTACATAACTAAACTATTGTTGTATGTAAAGTAAACAAGGTTTTCAAAATGTTTAAGAAGCGTCATTTAAAATTAAATTAAAATGCTGATCTTATGCCGCCAGCCTGCTCAGCCCGCTTCCAGCCTGGGGTTCTGTTCACCAAGGCCGGCAGCGGGCCGAGCGGGGCCTGCGGCCGGGATGCTGGCTGGCAAGGGGCTGGCAGCCAGGACCCCAGACCTGGGGGGGAGGTCAGGGCAGAGGGATGGGGGCTGTGGGGGGGCAGGGCAGAAGGCTGGGTGTGTGTGTGGGGGTTCAGGGGTCAGGGCAGAGGGTTGGGGGGTGAGGGGGTGCAGGGCAGAGGGATGCGGGCTGTGGGGGTGCAGGGCAGAAGGCTGGGTGTGCGGGGGGTTCAGGGGTCAGGGCAGAGGGCTGGGGTGTGTGGGGGGTGCAGGGCAGAAGTTTGGATGTGTGGGGGGGGTCAGGGCAGAAGGCTGGGTGTGTGTGTGGGGGTTCAGGGTTCAGGACTGGGGTGCTCGGCTCGTGCTCCTAGCCCCTTGCCCTGAGCGGCTCATGGCAGGGGGCTGGAAGGGATATGCCTTGTTCCACCCCCTTACCCAAGGTCCTGTCCCTACCTCTTCTCTGCCTCTTCTACAGAGCAGTGAGCACACTGCCACTCCTCCCCCTCCCAAGGGCCATCAGCTGATCGGTGCAGGGAGAGGGAGGGGGAGGAGGAGGGGCAGGAAAGCACCACGCTGGGGGAAGAAGCGGGGGAGGGGGGAAGCTTGGCTGCTGCAGGACCAAGCTTCTGCCTCCTGCCCCCGCAGGGGAGAGCGGTGGGCGGGGGAGCTGGGGGCCGGGACTGCGGCAGGCAGCAGCGTGCCATTCAAAATCGGCTTGCGTGCCGTAGGTTGCTGACCCCTGATCTAATGCATCAGTGGTGATGCGGGTCCCATTTGGTTCATTTAACTGACACTTGACAATGTCTGGAACCTGCCACCCCTGCCCAGCAAGCACTTGGCAGCCCTGTCTCCAGGGGCAGAGGCAGAGAAGCGTTCTCTGCAAGAGGCCTCTTCCACTAGGTAAAGCCACACACACAACAACCCAGTGCAGGCAACACAGCTCCGCCGGGGAGGGGAAATGGAGCCACGTGAGGGATGGGGACAGAGCCATGGCAGTTTCTGACCCAGGGACGGGCTCACGCTGCAAAGGCTCAAAAGGAAGTTTCCCTGCCAATGGAAACCGACCCATCTGTCCTCAGACCCACTGTCATACCAACCACTATGTGCACGAACGTGAACCCCCTTTGCCTTCAGCTATTCTTGGCTGCTGGGGCCCACCGCACCCAAGCGTGAGAGCTGCCCACAAAGCTGGAGAGCTTGAAGCCCCTTCCCACCCCCTGTACCGCACATTTCATCCAGCTCAATAGGGAAACACCGTGAAAATGAGGCCTCGCCAGTCCCCAGGAGACACTGGGCAGCGGGGGTGGACAGGTGGGTAGGAGGCCTTTCCCATCGAGGGGACACTAGTTCCAATCTAGCCCCAGGCTGGCGGGGGGCCTTGGGGATGGGATATTTCATCGCTAGGTCTAATCCAGGGGTTCTCAAACTTCATTGCACCACGACCCCCTTCTAACAACAAAAATTACTACACAACCCCAGGAGGGGGGGACCAAAGCCTGAGCCCCACTGCCCTGGGCAGGGGTCCAAAGCCGAAGCCCAAGGGCTTTAGCCCCAGGCAGGGGGCCTGTAACCTGAGCCCTGCCGCCCAGGGCTGAAGCCCTCAGGCTTAGACTTGCTGGGGTCCGGGGCAAAGCCGAACACCAGCCGTGGTGACCCCATTAAAACAGGGTCCCGAGCCACAGTTTGAGAACCGCTTGAAATCTGACCTCAGTTCAGCAGAGACGGAATAGTGCTGCCATCTGGTGGCTACCTGTGGTTTTGGTGAAGGGAAGTGTGCGCAGGATGACCCAGAAGGCAGGTGGCACATCACAAACGGCATTAAGCGGCCCCTCATTAGCAGTCTCAGCAGAGAGAGCAGGGAGTGACTGAGCGCCGGAGACCAAGCTCCAGAAGACAGTCCCTCCAGGGCACAGCTAAGGCTGGGGAGCAGCCTGCTGGGGGCTCCTTGTCCTGCCAGTGAAGGGTCCTGCTCCGTGGAGCAGGGTCTGTTCCACACTGCACCTTTCCCCAGTGCTCCGTTCAGTGGCTAGGACTACCACGTAGCAGGTGCAGGGAATCCAAGGACACGGGGAGGCTTGGAAAACATGCCAAGGACCCAGAAACTAATCCAGCTAAACAGTAAATGAATAAAAATCAATCCCATTAGCATAAAAGTGAAAGAGTGAACATGGCAAGCCAGGAGCTGCGTCCCCGACTGGCCCACAGCTGTGTCAGCAGCACCTGCACAGACACCGCAGGGCCTTGCTGGGGCAAACTGCAGAGAGAGTCCTGCATTGGCACAAGGGTCATTAGCTGCCCCTAGAGATCCGTATTCCTTCAGTCCTAGCAGGCATGACTTGCCTGCAAAGTCTGTAATGAATGTCTCCTGGCTCCAGCCCAGGCAGCGCCCAGTCCATGCCCATGACTTTGCTCGGGAGTGCAGATGACACACAACGTGCGTGGCAAGGGCCCTTTCTGAGGCAGTGAGCACGTGACATAGGGCAGACTGGAAAAGTGCCACAAATGGAAACTCGCATTCTCGCCTATCCTACTGCCTCAAGCCCAGGCTCAGGAGAGTATTGGTATTAATCAGCAACTCATGGACAGAGACTGCCTTGGCCTGTGGCTCCAAATGGGACTGCCCCAGCACAAGGAGCAGCCCACTGACCTGGGGCTCCTTGAGAAGGGAATGCCAAGTGCCATGGTGTTAGCAGGCAGGGCATCCTACCCCCTTTCCCTGTGAGTCCCGTGCATGCAGCCTGTCCCCTCTGGACGGAGGGTGAGACTGGAGGTTACATGGAAAGTCGGGGCTTGGCAGGAACGTGACAGGATGGACACTTCTAAAGCAAGCTGATCTCTTCGGGGATTTGATGAGATTAGTTCAATCATGTGAAAACAGCTGTTCTAGCAGCTGCCTGAATTAGATTCAGGTGAACTCACTGTGCTGCCTGTTACACCTTGTACCAATGAAACTGTATTTCCATTTAAATTACATTACTGGGACAGGAAGCAGCCAGACCCTGCCATACATATGGATATGGTTCAGCTAGGGAACGGGGAAGCCGTGCATGCACTGGCTATAGATCTCTCCGCAAAGCGCCAGTCCGCCCAGCAGCACAACCCACTCATACGGCCTCCGGGGGATTCTAGTGGTGCAGATAAAGACTTCATTGCAACTTTCCCTAGCAGGATTGCAGCATGCAGATGAGCTGCCCCATTGTGACATGACTGGCTGAGTTACCTGTAATGTCACAACCCCACCACCCAGCAGTGAGCTGTTTGTAGCTGCCTGAAATCAAACTGCACAGGCAACAAACCAGCAACCAAGTGCAGCGACTGTGGACGTCTCCAGCCAATGGATCTTACAAGAAATAAACTTGCCGGGGGGCTCAGGGCTCCTGGTGGTGGGAAGATGGGGTTCAGGGGCAGAGAGGAGGGGACAGCAGACACCGGGCACTTGCCGCAGTTCCCACCTTTGCACTTTCTGCCCGGCTGCCCCTACTTGCAGGGCGAGCTCCCCTTAAACTCCGCAAGGCCACCTCATTGGCTCCGTCCAGCGCCCTACAATTACCCCACAGCCGCCCCGAGACCATTCCCGTCTCCCTGGCCCCTCGTGCTCTGCCGTCTGCTCTCTCATCTCACACGTGGCCTGTGAGCTCCTGGGGCAGCGACTGCCCCCGTTAGATGCTTGCACGACACCTAGCATGACGGAGCCCTGGCCTCTTGGCACTACTGTAAAACCAATCACCACAGCAATCAGGTACGTGGAAAGAGGGGGCTCGGGAACGCAGAGCATGGGAAAGCTGTGGCTTATGACCCAGGAGCTAAAAGCCAGCTGGCTGTAGGACAGACTCATAATCTCTCTAAGTGGTCTCGTCTGGGTACCACTAGATGGGCCAGAACCCCAAATGCACACAGCCAGCCTACCTCGGAGACCCCACCGCTCAGCCCTTCAGAGCTTGGCAGGCCAGACAGACCTCCTCTGTAAACACAGGCCAAAGAACAGGGCCCGTTTCCTCTGCCCTGATTGCACTAAGTTGTGTTTGGCCAAAGCATCTTCCAGACAGGCCTCCAGCCCTGGTTTCAAGACACCAAGAAGAGGGGGAACCTGCCCTTCCCTTGGAAGCTGGTTCCAACAGTTACTCACCCTGGGTGGGAACAATTTGCCTGACCTCTCCTGTGTGCCTGGTTCAGCTCCCGGCCAGGGGCTGGTTTCACCTCCTCCCTTACAGGGCCCGTGGGGTTCTCCCAGCCAAGGTGCTTATGCCCCATGGTCAAGCCAGCCTCCGTCCACCCCCTTTGTGCTGCGCTGCGCTCACCGGAGCCAGCTCCCGAGACTCCTGCCGGCGATTTTCTCCAGTCCCCGTCACTTCCCCGCATCGCTCCAGCTTTTCAATCCCTTTCAAAGCGCTGCCCCGAGAGCTGGGCGCCTGCTTCAGCCCCAGCCGCGCCAACGCCCCGCACAGGAGCCCCCCACTACTCCCAGCGCCCCACGGCCACCGCCGAGCCCCGGGCTCGCCCCCAACTGCCCCTGCCGTGCCCGCCCCCCCGGCCTCGCCCCCAACTCCCCCGCGGCCGCCCCCGGGCTCGCCTGCCCCCACGCAACCCCAGCACATGCCCCCTGCCTGCCCCAGCCCCCACCTCCCCTGCACCCCGCGGCCACCCCAGAGCCCCGGGCCGCCCAGCCCCGCGCACGTCCCCGACCGCCCAGGGTCCCCACCGGTCCGGGCAGCCCCGGCCCCGCCGCCCGGCTGATGACACATCACTTGGCACCGACCTGCCTCCCGGCTCCGCCTCCTCCAGCTCCTCCTCCCCGGCCCGGCAGCCAGCGCAGCCCGGCACGCGGCCCTGGAGCTGCCGCTGCCCAGCCAGGAGCTGCCCGTCCCCGAGCTGCCGCGGGGCCAGGTGAGGGGCCGGGAACTGCCGCGCTGCGAGCGGGGAGCCGGCGGCGCGGGCACGGGGAGAGCGCAGGGGCGCGGGGCTCCAGGTGTGGGCAGCCCAGGGCACGGGGAGAGCCGGGGGGAGCGCAGGGCGTGGGGTCCAGGTGTGGGGAGCCCGGGGACAGAGAGAGCCCGGGGGGAGCGCAGGGCACGGGGAGAGCCGGGGGGAGCGCAGGGCGCGGGGCTCCAGGTGTGGGGAGCCCGGGGGAGCCCAGGGACAGAGAGAGCCCAGGGGGAGCACAGGGCACGGGGAGAGCCCAGGGGGAGCGCAGGGCACGGGGAGAGCGCAGGGCGCGGGGCTCCAGGTGTGGGGAGCCCGGGGGAGCCCGGGAACAGAGAGAGCCCAGGGGGAGCGCAGGGCACGGGGAGAGCCGGGGAAGCACAGGGCACGGGGAGAGCCGGGGGGAGCCCGGACACGCACAGGGACAGGGGGCTGTGTGGGAGCGCACTGACGCAGGACTCCGGGGCATGGGGAGTGTGGGGGGAGTCACAGGGCATTAGGAGCCGGGGGACACGGGAACCTAGGGGGACCCCACGGGCAGGGACTGCGGGGCGGGGGGAGTGTGGGGCTTGGGGAGCCCAGGGGCAGTGGATATGGGGAGCCCAAGGCACGGGGAGCTCGGGGACCCAGGTCTGCAGGGGAAGCTAAAGGGTATTAGGAGCCAGGGGGCGCGGGGCATGGGAAGCCTGGGGCTGGTGTTGGGGCATCCTAGGCTCTGCAGGACCCAATTTCTGAGCCGGGGTCCCTTGAATCAAGATTGGTGCAGCCTGGGTGCCTGGTTTTGTCCTCTGAGGGGCCTGGTCACTGCCCTGGGGGTGGCTCAGAAAGCTGTAGCCAGCTCCAGCTCATGCCAGGCCTTATGTACCCCCATTGGGGCCACGGGGGGGGAGGTGTGCAGTGGTGGGGACACCACGGGTGGCCAGAGTGGTCACATGGGGCTGGGTGAGGAGTTTGCTGAGCTCTGACCTACATTCCCTGTTTTCAGAGGGTACGTGAGGTGCCCAGCCTTGGGAGGTCTGGGACCCTCGAGCTGTAGGACCCCATCCGCTCCCAGGCACTGGGGCAGGGTTGGCTCCTTTCCATTTGCTGCTAGTATTTGGCTGATGGGGCTCCCAGCACTTCTCTGGGGGAGTCTCTCTCCCTCCCCTTCGCTCTGGTCGAGGGAGCAGCAGAGTAAACAGATTCCAAAAGGGGAACGTGCCGGGAACTTCTCTAGCCCTTGCTGACCTGACACCCCTCTGCATGTCCCCCCCGTCGCCCCTCCTTTGGAGTGGGCTGGAAGGAGCCATGTGCTGGTGGGAAGGGGCAGAGGAGAGAGGCTGCCTCACACTGAATGAACCAGCTACCCTGGTTTTTCCCTGCTCAGTCTGGCCTCTGGGAAATAGCACTGTAGTACCCACCTTCTGGGGGTGCTGCAAACCCCCGGCTTTGTCCTGTTGTCATGTCAGGGAGGTAGCCAGGGAACACCTGGTTCTGGGGAGAGACCCCCATGCCTGTTCTTTCCTTCCTTGGAGTGAGGGCATGGTGTCTGCAGCCAGTCTAGAGAGGAGACTTAGCCCCTGGCTGGAGGAGCTGGAGGCTCCAGGGAGAAATAAGTCTGTCCCAGCTTCTCGGACTAGTGACTATTGCTGTTGGAAAGACCAAAGTTCCCTGGATAGCCCATGTCCACACCCCACACCCTCTGCTCACCCTGCCCTTCCTTGCTGCCTCAGCCTGTATCAGCTCAGTAACTGTGTGGGAGATCCATGGAGAGTGTGCCAGTCCAGAGAGCAGCCACCTCCCTCTGCCGTCCCTCATTAGGAGACATGTCCATTAGCTGAGACCCACGTGTGCTTCTGTCCCACCCTGGTCCCGGGCCTGTCACTTTCTGAGCTGTGCGTTCCTGACCCATGGGTCCGAGGTTAGACACCATTTCTGCTAGCGAGGGTTTCCGGCAGCTTGTTCTGCTGTGTTCTGGTTGGGGTCTTTGTGCCTGAGAGCTAGGAGCAGAGCAGTGCCGCAGCAGCGACTGAGGTGCTTGGTTTCCCCGAGACCTCTCTACTGTCCCTGTCCCCACTACCAACCTCGACAAAGCATGCCAGAGGCGGGGAATCCTCAGGAGAGGCTCTGGGGTGGGGACACTGTGATGCTAAGAGCAGGGACTGTCAAGACCCTGAGGAAAGAAAGGATGCAATGGTGCCATTTTCTTCCTTTCTTGGGTCGGGTGGGGATAAGTGACTGAGGGTATGTGTAACCAGCAAAGCTGTGCATGGGCTGGCCTACCCAGCTGGCCTGAATGCCGCCAGCGTGGGTAACAATCATGCAGACAGTGCAGCGTGGGAGTGTGTACCTCGGGGCCATGCCAGGCTTTCCTGCTTGCGCTGAAGCACACACTGCTTTGTCTTCACTACTGCTGTTCCCAGTGCTAGCCAGATAATCCAGCCTGTGCCCAGCTTGTTCTGCAGAGAGATACCCTAACCAATCCAAAGAAGCCAGGCAGCAGAAACTGGGCTCGCCTTGTGAGTGCCACCAGCCAGGGAACACAAAACCCTTGGTGCTAAAGTGGGAACCATCTTTTGGGGCTGCACACATGCTCTCCTGGGCCCAAATGCTCCAGCCCAAACTGCAGCCCCCCTTGGCATACAGGAGTGAGTCTCCTTGGAGAGCCACAGTTACCCCAAGTAACCTCTCTTTGGCTTCAAGGACTGCTAGCAGAGATCCCCTCTTCATAGCACTACCCTGAGGGATGGGTCTCAGGGGAACTGTGATGCTGGTCCCCTGAATTGCATTCTTTAGCTCAGGAAGTGAATCCTAGGCAGCCACCAGACATAACTGAGAGACTGCCCTTTTTGAGGCGTGCTTTAGATCTGGTGGGACGTGTTCTAAATCTGTCACGTACACCTCCAAGGTTATAACAGGTTTGAATGCAGAACCTCATTGAGTCAGATGTCTCTGAGCAGAGGTCATCTTCCTCACGGATTATAATTATTATTTAGGATTTACACTATGGTAATACTCAGAGGCCACAAATAATCTAGGACAGTGTTTCTGAATCTATTTGATACCAGGCACTGGCTTGCTGTCTTCCTATACTGTGTCAGGGAGATCTCAGGGACTGGCACCCGTCCACAGACCGGTCATTGAGAAACACTGATCTAGGGGATTTACTCCTGTCTAGAAAATAATGGGAGGTCCTGGCTTCCCTGCTAATGAATATGGTTTAGGGAAGCACACAGGTAAGATGAGGGATTGATTATGAGATGGGATTCACTTTAGGGTCAGGAATTGTGCAGTCATCTTATTCTTATGGGGGAGGATTAGCCACTCTGGTCTGGGGCTCACAGACAACCCTTGCTGAAGTGATTGCTATGAGGAATGTAGTCTTCAGGGACAGACGATGTCCCAAAACCATGGCAGTGCGTGGTGGTGAGAAAGTGTGGGTCACTCGTTTAGAAAGCACGTAACTCCAGGATCTGTGAGTAGGAACGTGGTAAGTGGATATGGCTGCCAGATTCATTTTGACTGTGTTTAAGGTCACCTCAGATTTCCTCAATGACGGCAAATAGTCTAGGCCAGCAGGTACGTGTGCTGGAGTGCCTGTCTGCGAAGTGCCCAGGGACAGAACTTTTTCCAGTCTGCTGCAGCAGTTTGCCTTGTGGACAGACCGTGGCTCTCTGATAAGGTTGGCTGCAGGTTGAGGCACACGCCCAGTCCCAGTCTGTCAGGGTTTTGCCACCAGGCAGTCTCCTAGTTGTAGAGACTTTGGCTTTGGGTGGGCAATGTGACCCTGTTTCTGGGAGAGGTGATCCAGGCAAGCAGGGCTATGGAGGGGGTGTGCTGTCTGGGAGATGGGAATACCAGTACTGATGAACCCATTTTATGGCTTGCAACAGCCCTCAGGCCACGGCCTGTTTCATTTTCCTGATTATTGCTCTGGAAATTGGAAGCACGGGAAGGACCCTGTAGAAGTGCTATGCTCCAGGCCAGGCTGAAGCGCTGGGTCACTCCCCAGAGTCTGTATTCTCTCTGGAATAGAACTGTTGCCACTGGTGATCTGTCTTGTGTAGATAGGTCTGTCTGAGGTTGTTCCCCAAGTCGTTGGGGAAGCACTTGTGCTGGACCCTGCCACTTCTGTCTGGGAGACAGCCAGCCACCAGTGAGGGGTACATCATTAGATCACATTTCCCAAACTGGACTGTTTCTTGACATCTAGAAGACATCAAAGACTGAACAGAGCTCCCCCTCGACAGAGGCTGCAGTCTGTGTATGAGAGAGAGATGCTGAAAGAAAAGCCTTGGCATACAAACTGCTCCTAATTCCAACCCACTTATGTGTCACCCCTCCTCTGCCACAGACTTCCCGTGTGGCCTTGGGCAAATCATTTAGCTTCTCTGTACCTCAGTTCTCCATCTGTAAAATGAGGATACTAGTACTTCCCGACCTCACAAGGGTGTTGTGTGGATAAATACATAAAGGATTATGGAGT